GCGTTTCCAATGCGAACGAAATTAGATACAATCACAATTCCCACGAGATAAGCGGACATTGTAAAAGTGCGATCAAAGTGTGTCCACATCATGCCATTTTCTACATTGTACTTCTCTCGTATCGGCCAATTCGACAATACCCTGTATTCTTGACGATGCATCACGGAGATCATGAAATAAGCTTTTATCGCTGGCTCGTCCCAACATGGAAACATTCGTCTGGCATTATTTGGCGAGAAAAACGTTGCGGCCAACCTGTAATTTTAAACCTATAATTTTTTAAATAATGACTACCACTCGTGACGAGTAGGACGCAAGAGTTCAGAGAACACTAGTTATTGCGTTTATTATTACATTATACGTAATAATTATTTTGTTAAGAGTAGAAAAAGAAATGCCGTTTTATTTTTAACTGAAATTAAACATTCTTCTAAACATGATATCATGCATTTCTTGCAAATACTTTATTGTAATTGTACTTACATAATGGAAAACAGTTTTAATAATTACAAAGCTACATGTTTAAGCAATGTCTTGCCGAACTTTGTATGTTATAAGTTGATATACGACGAAAGTAATAAGTAAAAGAAAGTAATAAATAGAAGTAATAAATAAAGGTAATAACAAATAGCGTTTACGTATGCACGTTATAAGTACATTTTTAATATTTTTAATGTTTGCTTACGTCCTGTTTCCTTTCTTATCTGTGTATGGAATTTTTATAAAACCATTGTCTAGAACACCACTCTGAGAAAAATTACCAGCAAACTTCATGTTTAGGGTGTAATTACCGCGATACAATTCATTCTCGAAATGTAGCGTCAATATATTCGTTTCATCGTCATAAGTATGTGCTGTCGGTTTATAGATTATAGAGTCGTTTATCAACGTTGTCGCCGTTTTATTTATTTCTAATTCTTGCGAGTGTAAGCTTATGTAAAAGGATGCGTAAACAATGTTGACGGTGACACTGGTTTCACCATGAAAAGTATTGCCTTCTTTGAGATGCGGAATAATCAGACTAATGTTATAATCAACTGGTATTGCGTTAACGGGTAAGCGATAGATAAATTTTGTTTTATCAGCGATAATATAGTCCGTGATTGTGGCCAATATTAGGCCGATATGTAGTAACAATTTTAAGATTTCCATGTTAGTACTCGTCGTCTTAGGTGTCTGTAATTTTTCGTTGGAACAAAACAAATAATACAATTCAGTTTAATGTAATTAGATATTACATATTAATGTAATTTGATATTAATTTTGATACGAAAATAGAAATGACTAAAGAATAGAAGGAGAAGAAGAAAATATAATTCCAACTTTTATCACGAAAACTATATAGGAGATTTACTTCGGGCAAAATAATGAATATTTTTTTATATATAACATTGGATATATCTCGATGTACTCGCAAGTAATTTATTCTGTTACTTTTATATTTTTTAAGAATTAAAAAAAATTAATTTAATCAGGTTTTGAAAAGGACTTTGGGCATCTAATTGTAAATGACGTGTGTATGTACATTTGACAGCAATAAATATTTCGTCATTAGAAGAAAAAACGTAAATACATTTTGTTAATAAAATTTGAATTATTTAATTATCGGTTAGCAGTTGTTTGTAAAAAAAGCAAAAAATAAATTTGTTCCTTGTGTTTCATTTGCGTCCTAATATATTTTCGCCTAATATCTATTTAATGTTTATTAATTTTGGTTATTAAATTTCTTGAGAGAGATTTTTGCTCGGAAGTTATTAGATAGAAATTTGAAATTATAATTGTCAAATAATAAATAGATAAATATTTGTCAGATGTAAAAACAATATGAAAAAGTCAAGAGGCCAAGTATCAGCAAATAAAAGTTGTGTTATTGTTGAAATATTCTAAACACAGAATAATTTAATTTATTGAAAGAAACTTAGTATAGTTGAAACGTCCAGAATGTTCTGTCTACCTTTGGACAATAAACTATAGAAGCTAGGTTTTAACAGTAACGTTCTTTGGCTGCGATCGGATTCACGCTCACAGCGCTGTAAGCATCGCTTTATCTTCGTTTGATATTCGATGTGCAACGAAGACAGAATGATCGTTACAATGCTGTGAACGTGAATCAAACCGCAGCCTTTATTTCCTCGAATTTGGCCTTTTTACTTTCTCATATATATGTATAATTTTCGTTCCTCAGTTTTTAAATAATAAATGAACCGAAAAGTAAAAATATAGAATAAATAAAGAATCTCTGATTAATTTCTAAAACAAATTATTAATATAATTATCAATAAAATTGTTTTATTTATTTATCAATAATAATAATAATCTCGTCTTTTGTATAACTTTAAATTTTGTTCTACGTTCGGAACGCTATGTGTTAAGATTTCGAAATTATATTAATTCTTTCCAGCTCTCATTTTGCCAGCTCACGCAGCAACAATAAGAAACAAAATATGTCGATTGATTTAAAATATATATATTTAAAATGAAAATTTACAATCCATGAGAATAGATAATCTCGACGAAATAAAATAAAATTTAATTATGTG